TAAGACTCTGATATTGTTTAAATTTATTTTCTGTGTTTTTATTCTTTATTATATTGTTAATAAATTGGTTAAGTTCGAAACCTTTTATTGTCTTCAATGTCGGCACAACATATTATCTCAGGGAGCTTTTATTGCTACTATTGCTAAATGTTTATTTATTTTTTTTTTTAACTTTAAACTTTGCTTTAGCATCAGCCTTTACACCTGCGAATATGCGTGTGCGCATAATACGTTTATGCATGCACGTTTAATGTATAACGGCCGGTATAAGCTAAGCTAAAATTATCTAATTCAGTTAACATTGCAGATTGCGTTGTTCCTTAATCTTCGAATTGGATCCGGCTTATTATTTTTTGCAGACTGTTAGAGCAATTTTATAAAAGTAAGCTTGAACTTTTGATTATGTCAAATAGAATTTCCAATATATATTTAGTAATATGTAAAGGATCTACAAAGCGAAAGTATGTTTCGAAGTGAATTAAACAAAAAGTGGAATTGCTGCAAAAAATTGATAAAAGCATACCCTTTGTTTATCTAACCATTCCGAAATCTGTTTATCAATTTCACGCTGCTCTGCGGCAGGGGAACGCCGCGGCGCGCAATGAATTGGAAGTTGATCTGTCAGCACTATCCTTATCTTCAGGGCAGATGTTTTTATTTTATTTGGCTTATAATTCCTTACTAAATGTAGTATTTCATCTCGATGTATTCCGTCTTTGATATGATTTAAATCAAATTCCTTATCATTATAATTTGCTTCCGATAGTGAAGAAAGTGACACAGATGTTATTGAAAAGGAAAAAATTTTGATTGACAAATTAGTCGGTATTCTCAACACAGCAATTATAGGACTTGAACAGCGGAACTTTGTAACTAAACAAGAAATTATGTCTGTTTAATAGAATTAAAGAGAAAGTATTATCATCACATGAAAACGAAGCAACTTACATTGAAAGAAATGTTTAATAAAGTAAACAAATAAATATAAGCTTTTTTTTTTTTTGTAAATTTTGATACCCTTTAGATCATAATTGTTCTTTATTTCATAAATTACGGTTTCGTATTTTTAATTTTATAATTTCTGCATGCCATCTTACCATATTTAAACTGATGATCTATAATCCGGAAAACTCGATAATCCGGAATTGCCGAAGTCCCGACGAGTCCGGATTGATGACTTTTGACTGTAGTACCAAAATTCTTATGGTTAATTTTAAAAACATTTGCTGGTGTGATTATTACAAAACTTGGCACTTCGGCATAATTCAAGGTGTAGATTCAAAATATGAAAAAAAAATTAACATGTTATTTAAAAAAAAGGTCTGATTTTGTGTCAAAATACATAATATTAGAATACTACATAGAAATCTTATGTATATTTTACGTTGTACTTTTATAACATGAAAAATGCAAATTGAATTTTGCCAAATGACTGAGTAGAATGGGAGATACAGAAATGTCTCCCGCCCTTTTTGACTCAGACTACTGTTCTATTCACAGATCAACAACAAAAAAATTTCATATTTTCTATAACTGGGCAAAATAACATTTCTGAAGAAATTTAATGTTATTTTTTTCTCTTATCAGATAGCAAACACCATAGTTCAACTATGAGTCATTACTACACTAGAAAACTATAGACTGGGGGGAGGTCCTCGGTATCCATATACACTCAAACTTAAGCACATGCAGGAGTTGGCTACTATTGCATGTGTACTAAAATAAGCCAATAAACAAGCAGTTCTACTAAATGCAGGAATAAAAGTACCCAATTATTTTTCACTAATATAAAACCTTCAAAAATAGGAAAAGGCAACATATGTTTATCAAGTATCTGATGCAAATAAATGTTTGGCCAATATTTTTCTCCACTTTAAATTTTTGCTTAAGAGGCCCGGTGGCGCAATGCCTAGTGCATTGCGCAGCAGCACCACAGGTCCGGGGTTCGACATCCAGGCTGGGCAGGGTCGACTCAGCCTTTCATCCCTTGATTTCCATCACTTGGGTCGATAAAATAAGTACTTGAATAAGTCGCTTGGGGACTAAACACTGGGGGGTCCTGCGACAAGCTGACCACTTGTTCAGGACATATGCTTACACACCCCGGGGACCACAGTTAAGAAAGCAGATTTCGGGCACTGCAGGCCTAGGTATTGGGGCTGTTACGCCACTGAGTTTAGTTTAGTTTTTTTATATCTTAGCTTTTCATTTATATGCATATATGCTACAACATCTTCATTCATTATTAGACAAATCATAAAATATATCCAAGCAAGTGATTTTGGAGGATCATTTTACAATATCATGTAGCAATAAAAATCACAAAGGAAAAAAAAAACTTTACAAAAAAGTACACTTAAATATGCTTAAAATTTACTGAATTAACTACATATTCAGTACGAAATAAATATCATAATGTTTACATACAAATTAATCATTACATATTCATAAAATTCAAAAGTTCGAAATTTAAAACATTCAACGCACGACTTTTCCTTTCATTTATTACTATTCTTCAGCACAGGCTAGAAGTGAAATTTCATTGGTAAATAAATAAAAAAATTAAAAATAAATAATGACTATGGAAATTGGAGCCGTAGAAATACACTCGTAGCTTTCAGAAATAAAAAGGGGGGGGGGGGGGCATCTTGAAAGACTATCTTTTAAACAAATGAACATTTAATGCAAATGAAGCATTTTATTTTGATTTTTTTACATTTAGGAATGAAAATTGCAAAAATATACAGCGATATAATATCCATTAAAATGTACGATACTTCACGAATAGGATTTACAAAATATTAAGTGTAACCAAAATTTCAGATAATAGAATACCTGCAATAAATGGAAAGAGAATACATTAAATTAAAACTCAATTAAATTTCTGAATTGTGGATGTTTATGTTACATAACTATAAACACATTCCACTATTTTTAATTTTATCCTTCAGTTATCCATTTAACTAGATTTTAAATTGTATATTAATGCCAATTTGTATTAAAGAATCATAATTGTAATTTAAGCTTATAAAAAACTTAAATTGTAAATAAGCTTTTTTCAAATAAAAGTATGTTTCTTAGCTTAAAAAAATTACAGATTTTAATATTACACAGTTAACAATAAAATGAAGTTTCTATATTTAATTATATTTATACCGGGTGTTTCATAGATCATGGGACAAACTTGGAGGGGTGTTGGAGAGTACTAAAACATGCAGTTTTTGTATAGGAATGTAGGGTATAAAGTGACGGGTTAAAGCAGGAATGCGAAAACACGACACGACAGGAAAATGTGTTTATGTACAAAATCAACACAAAGCACTTCTTTGTAGCAGTACAGTATTCACAATAAATATTCAAAATTGCGACTCCAGCAGTAATACATGCTTGGTAACGTTACAAAAGAGACTGACGAACATTTTGAAAAGTGACAGGCATTTCGCACATGCTTGCAGCCACAATGGATAGTCGTGCAACGAGGTCCTCCATTGACTCCACTGGAGTCTCGTAAATGATGCTCTTCAGATGGCCACATAAAAAAAATCCAAGCTGGATAAATCTGGCGAATGGGGTGGCCATCAAACGGGTTCACCATGGCCAATCCATTGGCCCGGAAATGTCCCATCCAAGTAATTGTGGACCCGCACGTCGTTATGGGCTGGTGCACCATCATGCTGGAACCACATGCAATCACGAACGACAGCCGAAACATCCTGCAGCAATTCCGGTAGCACCTCTTGCAGAAAAATATGATAACATATGTACATGCAGGTAAGAGATATGGGCCTATGAGGTAGTCATTAACAATACTCGCCCACACATTCACGGAGAAGAGGGTTTGGAATGCATGTGGATATATGCCATGTGGATTAAGAGTTGCCACACATGCATATTGTGGCTACTGAAGATGCCGTCCTGTGAGAAAGTTGCCTCGTCCGTGAATAGCACATCCGATGGGAAATCCGCCTGCGCCACACACTGCTGCAAGAACCAATGACAGAAATTAACTCGAAGAGGGTAATCTGTCTGTTGCAAGGCTTGGATTCTCTGCAAATGGTATGGGTGCAAACCATTTTCATGAAATACTCTCCAAATGGTGGAATGACTCAGCTGCAGACGACGTGCAATAGCTCTCGTACTTGTCTGAGGTAATTCATACACAATGTTCAAGATAGATTCTTCAATGTGAGGTTGTCGTGCACTTCTTCTTCCACTCCTAGTGTCAGAGGTGGCTTCAAATGACCCGTTTTCACACAGAGGATGATGCAACCTCTCGAACATTGTGTGCTTCGGCATATGCCTGTTGGAAACCGTTCCTGGTCCAACCGTAGCGCTGTTCTGCCATTCCCATTAGCAGCACCATACATGAGATGCATGTCAGCTTTTTCCCTGTGCGTAAACTCACCCATCACGCTTGACATCAGAGTTGTGATTGATTATCTGATGCATCGTATTGAGGTTTGTCCGGTTTACTACCACCCTCTACCGCTGCATTGCCAGCCAATCACAGCTGTAGTTCCTATTACTGTTAGTGTTCCTTTTTTTGAACATTTATTGTGAATATATTGCTACAAAGAAGCACTTTGCGTTGATTTTGCACATAAACACATTTTCCTCTCGTGGCGGTTTTTTTTTTTTTTTTTTTTTTTTTTGAGTTTCTGCCTTGACCCGTCACTTTAGACCCTACATTCCTTTAGAAAAAATGCATGTTTTAGTAAGCTCCACCACCACTCCAAGTTTGTCCCAAGATCTATGAAACACCCTGTATATATATATATATATTCTTATATAAGCTTTCATATTTCTGTACTGCTTTGTTAAATTCTAATTACTGAAATTTTGTTCGTGTTTAGGAAAAATTAATGATATGATCTTCATATCTACTTTTCACTCAAGAGAAGTTATTTGAAATAATGTAATTTAATCAAAAGTGAAGTTAAATAATAAAATTACTGAATGTTGAATATATCTCATAACACTCCTTTTAACCAGTATCCTACCTTCTTCTATTGTGGAGTCTAGCTGTGTAACTTTAACAGCCAAACGGTCAATTCTGCCTTGAAGAGAATTGGCCCTAGCTACTATGGTGGATGATTCACGAAACAAACTGCTGAACATATCTTCAGCATGCTTTGACAATGATGATAACTGACGAATGATATTTGCTAATGTCCCATTTGTAACACATTCTAATTCATTTGGCACTTCTACAGCTAAAACACCTTGATCATCAAGAGGCAAAGTATTCCTGCACACATGGACAGGTTCTATAACTCTTTGCAAGAATGGCATACTTCATACCAAGGGTAATCTACTAAAAATAATAATAAATATATATAAAATACACTTTACAGTGCATAAACTAGTAAAAATATTTCATATAATACACAGAATATACAACAAATCTCAAAAGCAAATTCTTAATATATACACGGTAAAGTGCAATAAATTAAATAATAAAATATTTAAAGTATACCAAATCAAACAATGAAAAATTATATAGAAAAGGCATTAAATTCAGCATTAATAAAAGGAAAATAATTTTCATTACAGACCCCTTCCCATCAAAGAATAAGCATTGAAAAATTCAAACTTTCTGTGACACTTATTTCGGTCAAAAAAGGTCAAAAATCTATATTTTATTTCTCACATTATTTTGAAAGCTATAAAAAATTATCTATTCAGAAACAAATAATTTTTCTCTCATGTATTGGCTTTCTTGTACTAAACTTAAATAAAGCTATGCCGTCTTTTATCAGGCAAAAAGTGGATGTGTTTATACACTTATAATCTGGCTTTAATTTCATAAAACGTTTCTCTTTTATTCAGTAAAAATAGAAATATATTTAGAGTGGGAGAATAAATTTGGCAGTGCAAAATTACAGTCAAAAGTCGTTAATCCGGACTCGTCGGGACTTCGATTCGATTATCAATTTTTCCGGATTATAGATCATCAGTTTAAACCTGGTACGATGGCATGCAGAAATTATAAAATTAAAAATATGAAATCATAATTATGAAATAAAGAACAATTATGATCTAAAGGGTATCAAAATTTACAAAAAAAAAAAAAAAAAAAGCTTAATACTTATTTGTTTACTTTACTTTCTTTGCTATCGGAAGCGAATTATAATGATCAGGAATTTGATTTAAATCATATCAAAGACGGAGTAAATCGAGATGAAATACTACATTTAGTAAGGAATTATAAGCCAAATAAAATAAAAATATCTGCCCTGAAGATAAGGATAGTGTTGATAAATCAAATTCCAATTCATTTCGCGCCGCGGCGTTCCCCCGCCGCAGAGCAGCGTGAAATTGATAAACAGATTTCGGAATGGTTAGATAAACAAAGGATATGTCTTTATCCATTTTTTTCAGAATTCCACTTTTTGTTTAATGCACTTCAAAACATACTTTCGCTTTGTAGATCCTTTACATATTAGTAAATATATATCGGAAATTCTATTTGACATAATCGAAAGTTCAAGCTTACTTTTATAAAACTGCTCTAACAGTCTGCAAAAAATAATAAGCCGGGTCCAATTCGAAGATTAAGGAACACCGCAATCTGCAACATTAACTGAATTAGATAATTTTAGCTTAGCTTATACTGTCCGTTATACATTAAACGCGCATGCGTAAACGTATAAACGGGGGGGGGGGGGGGGGGAGCCGCGACGCGCAATGAATTGGAATTTGTTCTGTCAGCACTATCCTTATCTTCACAGGGCAGATGCTTTTATTTTATTTGGCTTATAATTCCTTACTAAATGTAGTATTTCATCTCGATGTACTCCGTCTTTGATATAATTTAAATCAAATTCCTTGTCATTATAATTCGCTTCCGATAGCGAAGAAAATAAAGTAAACAAATATTAAGCTTTTTTTTTTTGTAAATTTTGATACCCTTTAGATCATAATTGTTCTTTATTTCATAAATTACGTTTCATATTTTTAATTTTATAATTTCTGCATGCCATCTTACCAGATTTAAACTGATGACTTATAATCCAGAAAAATCGATAATCCGGAATCGCCGAAGTCCCGACGAGTCCGGATTAACGACTTTTGACTGACTTACTAAAGTTACTTTCGGTTCTTTCATCAGTTATATTGATTTAAAAATCCATGTACAACAGTCAGAAGACAAAGTTTCCTTTTTCTGAAAAATATGGAAGAAAATCCTTTTCTCAGTACCGAAACCAGGAAAATGAAGTGGAAGCTGCAAGCAATTCTTCTGTTTACGCCTTGAACCATGTATTTCTGAATTTTCTTTGGTCAGATGCAAGTCTCAAACCAAATCGATTAGTTAAGATTGTGGGAAAACCTCTTGTACACTGGTATCACCAGGTATATACTCCTTGATTTTATCTTCATTTGAAATACTTGCAAAACTGTGTATTTCAGGTGAATTTTCTGAGAGAATTAATACATCTGGACCATGTGTAAAGTGGATGGTACATTTGGATGACTTTTTTTTTTTTTTTTTCCTTCTTCATAATGAAATAGTGAATACCAATTCAACAAAAGTAGTAATCACTGCTGTGATTTTGCAGCTCTCACCACACCACTGGAACTGAATATTAACATTTATTGTTCATCCTTTGACCACTGTCGTCTAGGTCCTTTAACACACGTGTAACAAACATAGTAAGGTGCCTAAGTTTCATCTTGATCTCCTATTTTCACTCCAAAGTACATGAGGTACACTTCTCAAACAAAACCTGCTCTATTTCTTTTTTGCCTTTCCATGATTAATTCACCATAAATGTAAAAAGAAGAATCAGCAGACATTTTACAGCCTCTTGAAACCATTTAGGAAAATGGAAAATTCGCTAGGCACAAACATCAACTTTACATCAATAAAAACGCATTAGATCACAGAGGGGAGAAGAAACTGGATTTATGCTTGAAAATAGGGTTAGGTCCTTATTACCTTTCGATTTAAGGGTGCCCCTTGGATTATCGCTAAGTTGTTGTTTTATTTATGGTAACCTAAGTAGTTAAATGCTATGGAAACCTTATTATGATGCAATTGGTTGCGTGATTGCGGTGAATTTTTATGATGGGTAAAGATTTGAAAAGGCTTGTTTGTGTGTTGGATTTTGGATAAGAAGTAGTTATTTTGTGATTTATTTTTTTGAGTTTGTGATATTATTTTGCGGTTTTCCACAACAAAATGGCTGAATGTGGTAAGATTAATTTGAAGTTTTTGTGCAGAATGAAAAAGAAAAAAGGCCTTAATTGACTGGTGTGTAAATGAAGGTTTACTTACTACCTATTATAAGTGTTCTGTTTATAGGAAGGAGATGAGTATGGTCGAACGTGGGAGGATACCGGCACAATGGAGGATATTTTTTACTCTTATTTTTGTGAATTTATGTACTGACGCCAGTATATGGATTCTAGTTCAGATAATTTTAGGAAGTTTTTCGATGCTGTTATGGAATTTTGTTTGACTTAAGACACAGAAGTTAGTAAATAAGGTATGTGGATATTCCCTTTGTGTGGTGCTAAGATGAATTTTTTTTAATGTTATTTCATTGATTTAAAATGTAATTTACTGATATTATATATTTGTTGCTGGCTGCTCTTTGACTTTTTAAGTGAATATAGATCAATGTGTACATGGACAATGTCTAGTTTGTGCAATTCTCTGATTTTTTTTTAAGTGAAAATAGGTCAATACGTACACGGATACCGAGTTTGTGCAATTCTTTGACTTCTTATTTTGGATTTATGTAGCGGCGATTTTTGGCACTACACAAAACCAAAATAACAAGTCAAAGAATTGTACAAATTCGGTGTCTATGTACTGCTAAAAATTGCCACTTTTTGCCAAGGGGCACCCGCAAATATATTTTTACCTGAAAATAGACAATTAGCTAATAGTTAAACAACATTAAGAATTGCACGGTTTATGGGGGGGGGCATGGACACTCCCAATAAACATGTTAAGACTTATCACAACCAATGAAATTTCAATTACTCCTACTTTTGGCCAAGTTGTCAACACTACGCATTCACTCAGCAATGGAGAGCCACCACTCCTTCCAACTTTTAATCTTCAATTCAAATTTTTTTTTAATAAAATGTAATAAAATAGAAAAATTAGGTTTATTTATAGCAGCTTTCATTAGAAAACTGAAAAAATCAATGGACCTCCTCCCCGCCCTGCCATTGGCGTATATATACGCCTTGCTCAGCCGATGTGTTAGATGCCATGGGCATATATATATACGCCCTTCCAAAATACAATCATTTGCTTTGTGCCACTACCCATAAAATTATTTGCAAAGCTTTGGAATGCATCATCACAATGACCTTGATAATGTATGCAAAGGAGGATACTATTTCAAAGAAGTGGGGGGAGAAATTGGAGAGAAGGGTGTGTCTAAAGCGATGAAAGTAATGACTGCGCGGTATTGGCTGGTGTTGTCTGAGTAAAATGTATGTTTTTTTATTCTATGTCCTCAGTTTTCGTTTACTTTTTGTAGTAGATTCCAGGAATAAAAAAAGATATAATGGATGTTTCAAGCCCACTTATCTATTTTGAATTATTTTTTGATGAACTGCTCGTGCTTCATATTGTTACTGAAACTAACTATTTTGTAGACGAGTATATGAACCAACACCCTGCAAACAAAAAATCAAGAATAAAATCATGGCATTCAACCAGTTCAAAAGAAATATATGTTTTTTAGGCATACTGATTTCACAAGGTATAACACTCAAACCTGATATTACATTTTACTGGTCTAAAAAATGAATCGATTGAAACTCCATTTTAGGGATCTTTTTTATTATACTTACATCTTTTTATTATGCTTTTACTCAAAACATTAAATTTTGTGCATTCATTTTTTTTTTCTTTTTATTCTTTATTTTGTGAAAGTAAACACTTTTTAGTAAGTAAACCTTACACTTATTTTCCCCCTAATACATCGCATAACTACGTGCACCTGTGTGAAAAACCGTGGCACTGGGAAATGAATCTTGTATGTTTTCTGCGGCAGTTAAGGGGTTAAACTCTTTTGTTGCAACAATGCTTTGTATAAAAAGAAGTTATATGAAAAAGAATCATGTTTTCTTTAGATTTTTGCAAGTCACAGTTTTGCAAATTTTCGGCTTTTTAATATCATCATGAAATTTCAATTCGTGAAAAATTCTGATGGGATGGTAAAAAATGAAGGTCATTTCCAGATTCAGCATTAAAAAATACAGTACTATTCAGTTTTGAGGGCCGTAAAAAAATTGCAGCGAAAATGTATGCGCCAAACCTAGCAAACGCACCCATTTAAGAGCGCGCCA